AAAAAATGTGTATCGGCCGGCAGGAGAAAATGCAGATCCAGACTCCACATCCAGTTTTTTCTTTCATTTAAAAAGTCTGATCCATTGTGTGTTATTCAAACTCACCTAATTTATCCACCTTACTTTTATATTTTTAAAATATTTTATGTGTTTGTTGTGTTTTTATGTGTGTGTGGGACAATTAAAAGCTACTGAACTGAACTAATTTAGCTGGCTAGTTGTTATCAGAGTAAATATATTCGCTAAAAACTGTATCGGCCGGCAGGAGAAAACACAGATCCAGACTCCAGATCCAGTTTTTTTTTTTTAAGTATGATCCCACACAGCATTAGCATTAGCATCTGTAACCCACGGGTCTGTGTCCTAACCATTAAGTTGTTATCAGAGCGTTAGCATTAGCATTAGCATCTGTAACCCACAGGTCTGTGTCCTAACCATTAAGTTGTTATCAGAGTAAATCCCTGTTCAACATGAGTCTGAAAACTAAGTAAGTAGATAAATAACTTTAGACTTTAACTCATGCTCTGATAGGCCGGGATCGGATCAGAAGTGAAAGAAGCTGGATCTGGATCTCTAGTTTTTCTGCTTCTCCGGGCTCCCGGACTGTTTTATTATTGTGTTTTACCTCCTGAGCCAGCCTGAAGGGGCAGCCGAACTCCTCCCCGTCACTGTTGCGGGACCAGACCTTCACCCCCGTGTTGATGACCTGAGAGGAGACGCACAATAAGGCCGATATCGTACACTTCCTACACAAACAAACAAACAGATCCAGACTCCAAACCAAACCGAGGAATAACCTCTGGAACAACCTGCAGGATCTAAGGAGGTTTTTAAATCCTCCCTAAAAACACATTTCTTCTCCATTTTAATCAAGTCTAAGTGGACATGTGGCTAAAAATTGTATTTACATTTTAAGTTATTTTATTGCTTTGTTTTTATGTATTTTAGCTTTTAGTTTATCTTATTTCCTTTAACTGTGATATCTGTACAGCACTTTGGTCGAGTGAGAGAGAGAAAAATGGCACAAAAAATGTACAAAATTTTAAAAAAGGAGGGTGGGAGGCATTTCAGTTTCCTGACGGACCAAGTTGTAATAATTCAAAGGGAAAAAGTAATCAGTCAGTAGCCTTTAATCCAATTCTTAGTTCCGTCTGCAGATAAAAAAGGGTCTGAGTCTCAATTTCTACTTTTCAGACCTATTTTTGGGCCCAAATAGTCTTGTGGAATCAAATGTTAACTCTGTCCTTTCGCTTCTCCAAAGTCCTGATATCCTCAGAGTTTTTCTGACTAACTTTCCAACAAAAATCAGGAAATTTGAGCAAACAAACAAAAACTGAAAGAAGTTAAAAGGGTCGTCGCCAAAAAAATGTCGGTTAATTCAAGACAAAAAACCTTTTTAAAAAAGTCACGTTCAAAAGCTGTGAAATTCTGCCAAAATGGAAGCCTGTGTGCAACTAAAAAGTGAAAAACATCAAAGACAAGAGAGAACAAAGGGACGCACACACTCACACACACACTAACACACACAGACAGACACACACACACACACAGACAGACACACACTAACCCACACCCACACGCACACACACACACACACACACACACACACACACCTGAGCAGGTGTTAGAGGATGGAGAACTAGGGGGAGAGGACAGGGTCCCATCTGTTTATGCTGCTTTTGCCTCACACACACACACACAGACGCACACACACACAAACACAGACACACACACACACAAATTAACACACACGTAAATCAAACTGGTGTGTGATTGCACTCATGGGGCCAAAGATTGTTAGATGATTGTCAGATGATCCAATATTGATTAAAGATCCATCTAATCAGATAAAAAACATCCCAATTGCTCCCCAGAAAATAAATAAAACACAGACACACACAGAGACACACACACACGGACACACACAGACAGACACACACAGACAGACACACACAGACAGACACACACAAACACACAGACATATCCAATATTATCCATATTGATTAAAGATCCATCTAATCAGATAAAAAACATCACATCGCTCCCCAGAAAATAAATAAAACGCACACACACAC